TTATACCTGTTTACATCTGTTTGCCCCTCCCTCCACATACACAGGTACAAGTGATGGGCTCCAACAACCAGCTGCTGATGACTCCGGTGGTGGCGGGCCAGAACCCTGTGCCCACACTGCTACAGAACGCGACGGGCGTATTCCCCATGGCGCGCCCCGCCCAGCAGACGCAGCAGCCCCAGCCCGGGATGGGTCAGTTCATCATACAGGGCTCGTCCATGACCACTTTCAGGGGCTTACCTCCGCAGATGTAGACTACGGTACCGCCGTCTTTGGTCAAAGATCGTACATAACAAGAGTACATGACAAGATAATTCTCTCGGCCAGAGATCGTACATTACATAGCAAGATGGTTCACTCAGTCAAAGATCGTACATTACATAACAAGGTAGTTCACTCAGCCAAAGATCGTACATAGCTAGATAGTTCACTCCTCTCTTTGAACCATTTTTTAAAAAGATGTCCTCAAAATTCGGTGTCGCCCTCTTCGAAAAAATGCGGACTTTGCTATCAGAGTTGGCCTACTTGTGTGAAAAAAACTATTTAAGTGAAACTAACTATGCTATTCCTATTCTTCTTCTTGAGAAACGAAAAAGAGCTTAAAAACAAAGACTGAACCAATGCGCTGACTTCCGCCGACACTTGTTCGGCTGAGTGAACTATCTTGTTATGTACGATCTCTGCTATGGTGTGGTGGTAGCAGCAGTCAGACTCTTTGCAGTGATATGCAGAAGAACCGAGTTCCATTCCCGGCGAGGGAGAGAGTTTTTGTCGAGTATCATGTGGTCTTTCTGTTGAAATGCTAAATTCTCAACCCAGGTTGATACTGACTGGCAGTGTCAGAGCTTGCCCCCTGAGTGATCTATAGTACAGTAGTCTCCGCCCAAACGCACGGTTGGCGGGTGCTCTGGTGTGTTTGCTTCTTCTTTCCTATCAAACATCTATTGTCTTTATCTCCCCTCCTTCTTTTTTGTGTTTGTTACTCTCTTGTAACACCTCTAATCTTCGGCACTTATATGATCTTATTGTGTTGCAAGTGGTGCCGTAAAACTCTAACTAAAACTAGAACATCTATGGTGGGGGCTCTTGTGGCCTAGGGGTTAAGGTGTTTGCCTCTCATTCAAAAGTCCCGGGTTCGAATCCGGGTAGCAACCGAAAATTTTTCTTCTCTAAAAATTGTCTCCTTTCACCTTCTTTCCTTCTCTCTTGCAATATTCTGTCGTCTATTTTCGTCTCCACTTTCTCCCCCCATCCCCTCACCCTCTTTGTCCCCTCTACTGTTCTCCTGACTCTTACGGCTGTCTTTCAGTCACGCCCCTGATCTTCTGGTAGGAAAGATCTACACCTAGCCTTCTCGGACAAGGGCAAAAAATCTCGGAGGTCCGGTGTGCAAGCTGCGCACGTTAAAGATCCCTTGGTGGTATAAAATTGATAAGATTAGGCTTTGGCCGCCACCCGGACAAAATAAAAAATTGTGTACCAATTAAAAATATTTGGTGTGTCTGCGCGCTGATATGACCTTATGCAGTTGCGAGCACCGTAAAACCTCTACTAAAACTAAACTGTCTGTCTCACCACCGCTACACTCTCTTACATCCGCCCGCCGTGAGTGGTTGGTAGGTGCTCTGGTGTGGTTTGCTTCTTCTTTCCTATGAAACATCTATCGTCCTTATCTCCCCTTCTTCTTTTTTATGTTTGTTACTCTCTTGTAACACCTCTAATCTTCTGGCGCTCATATGACCTTATGCAGTTGCGAGCGCCGTAAAACCTCTACTAAAACTAAAACTGACATCCGCCCCAGTCCGACCGGCAACGTGCGGGTACCGACCGTGAACCAGCCACGCGTTCATTTTCTTGTCTTTTAGAAAGTTCGTGAAACCCTTTAGGTAGGTTTGACCCTGGTGTATGTACCAGAGCCGGCTGTAATGGTTCAGCCCCGACCCCATCCAATGACTGAATTGTGTGACGTAAAATTGTACATTCCCGGCGTACTTCTTACCCCCCTTACCACCTCCCGTAGAATCTGACCTTCGGTTACTTTCTGGTCAATAACTGCCCTGCTGTCTGCACATTACCAGTTCAGGACTCGACCCACTGTCCCAAAATCTCCCCTCATTTTTTCTACTGTAGCTAAGTGTTCTTTGCCCATATCGCAGAGCTCATTTATTCTGCCCGTTGCCTCTTTAAGAGACTCCTTCACTTTTCCAAGTTTTTGTTTTCTCTTCGTGTTTGAGAAACTGAAAGCGGTAATTTTTATGAGTCTGCCTATTTTTGAATTTGCGTTATTATTTCTTCTATTATTTACTCGAACACTTTCGGACCTGTTGTTTAACCCCCCGGCCGGTGCCACTGACTGAAGTGTCTATCGGCCATTCCCCAAGGGGGGACATTTCTCGTTCATGCACAGTAGAATTATGAATTGGCTGATTCATCAATGTCACACTCACAACTGTGCCTGATCTACAACAGGGAACTGCTGCTTTTTCTTTCCTATTCCTTACTATCGTCATTTTCCTCTACTTCTTTTGTATGTTTGTCACACTCATGTGACCCGCTATTTCCGGGGTGGTGCCTTGATAGTCGACACGGACTTTGTGCGGTTGAAGCTAGAGAGGTGAGCAGAGTAAGTCTGATTCCCTGTAAGGACCTCTCTGTTGACATCCACCCCTTGGCACTCATATGACCTTATGCAGTTGCGAGTGCCGTAAATCCTCTACTAAAACTAAACTGTTTGTCTCACAACCGCCACACTCTCTGACATCCGCCCCAGTCCGACCGTGAACCAGCCATGCGCTCATTTTCTTGTCTTTTAGAAAATCGCGAAACCCTTTAGGTAGGTTTGACCCTGGTCTATGTACCAGAGCCGGCTGTAATGGTTCAGCCCCAACCCCATCCAATGACTGAATTGTGTGACGTAAAATTGTACGTTCCACGCTTTTCTCTTACTCCCTTTACCACCTCCCGTAGAATCTGACCTTCGGATACTATCTGGTCAATAACCGCCCTACTGTCTGCTCGTAACAAGTCCGGGGGACACACCACCACCCCTCATTTTTTCTACTGTCGCTAAGTGTTCCTTGCCCGTATCGCAGAGCTCATTTATTCTGCCCGTTGCCTCTTTAAGAGACTGCTTCATTTTTCCAAGTTTTTGTTTTCTCTTCGTGTTTGAGAAACTGAAAGCGGTAATTTTTATAAGTCTGCCTATTTTTGAATTTGCCTTGTTGTTTCTTCTATAATTTAATTGAACACTTTTGAACCTGTTGTTTAACCCCCCGGGCGGTGCCACTGACTGAAGTGTCTTTAGGCAGTTCCCAAAGGGGGGACATTTCTCGTTCATGCACAGTAGAATTGTAAATGGGCTGATTCATCATGTCACACTCATAACTGCCTGATCTACAACCGGGAACTGCTGCTTTTTCTTTCCTAATCCTTACTATCGTCATTTTTCCTCTACTTCTTTTTGTATGTTTGTCACACACTTGTGACCCGCTATTTCCGGGGTGCCTTGATAGTCGAAGCAGACTTTGTTCTGTTGAAGTTAGAGAGGTGAGCAGAGTAAGTCTGATTCCCTGTAAGGACTTCTCTGTTGACATCCACCCCTTGGCGCTCATATGACCTTATGCAATTGCGAGCACCGTAAAACCTCTACTAAAACAAAACTGTCTGTCTCAACACCGCCACACTCACTTTGACGTCCGCCCCAGTCGGACCGGCAATGTGCGGGTACCGACCGTGAACCAGCCACACATTCATTTTCTTGTTTTTCAGAAAATCGCGAAACCCTTTAGGTGGGTTTGACCCTGGTCTATGTACCAGAGCCGGCTGTAATGGTTTAGCCCCGACCCCACCCAATGACTGAATTGTGTGACGTAAAATTGTACGTTCCACGCTTTTCTCTTACTCCCTTTACCACCTCCCGTAGAGTCTGACCTTCAGTTACTATCTGGTCAATAACCGCCCTACTGTCTGCTCGTAACAAGTCCGGGACACACACACACACACCTACACCCCCCCCCCCCCGTCGAAAAAAATCCTCCATCATTTTTTTAAACTGTCGCTACGTGTTCCGTGCCGGTATCGCAGAGCTCATTTATTCTGCCTGTTGCCTCTTTAAGCGGTAATTTTGATGAGTCTGCCTATTTTTGAATTTGCCTTGTTATTTCTTCTATTGTTTGCTTGAACACTTTGAGACAGGTTGTTTATTTTCGAGGTGAGTACGCGTTTAGTTCACGTGAGTTGTGATGTCACGGCTGTCTCCCCGTCATTGACACTCAGCGCCAGAAAAGACGTTAACAAGTTAAGGGCCCGACCCCACGTCCCAAAATCCTCCCTCATATTTTCTACTGCAGCTAAAAGTGTTCGACCCCCCGGGGTGGTGCCACTGAGTAAGTCTGATTCCCTGTAAGGACTTCTCTGTTGACATCCACCCCTTGGCGCTCACATGAATTTATGCAGTTGCGAACGCCATAAAACCTCTTCTAATACTTAACTAAAAGTGTTCCTTGCCCGTGTCACAGAGTTCATTTATTCTGCCTGTTGCCTCTTTAAGAGACTCCTTCAGTTTTTCTAGTTTTTGTTTTAATCTTCGTGTTTATGAAAGCGGTAATTTTTATAAGTCTGCCTATTTTTGAATTTGCCGTGCAGTGAACTGCGTATAAAAAAACTAACTTGTGTTTCGCGCGCTCATGTGACCTTCTGCAGTTGCGAGCGCCGCAAAACCCCATACTAAACGAAAACTAATTTATTCTGCCTGTTGCCTCGTTTAGAGACTCCTTCAGTATTTCTAGTTTTTGTTTTATCTTCGTGTTTGTGAAAGCGGTAATTTTTATAAGTCTGCCAATTTTTGAATATGCGCTGTTGTTTCTTGTTATTTGCTCAAACACTTTGAGACAGGTTGTTTATTCTCGAGGAGAGTACGCGTTTAGATCTTCGTGTTTGTGAAAGCGGTAATTTTTATAAGTCTGCCAATTTTTGAATTTGCGCTGTTGTTTCTTCTATTATTTGCTCAAACACTTTGAGACGGGTTGTTTATTCTCGAGGAGAGTACGCGTTTAGATCTTCGTGTTTGTGAAAGCGGTAATTTTTATAAGTCTGCCAATTTTTGAATTTGCGCTGTTGTTTCTTCTATTATTTGCTCGAACACTTTGAGACAGGTTGTTTATTCTCGAGGAGAGTACGCGTTTAGTTGTCGTGAGTTGTGGTGTCACGGCTGTCTCTACGTCATTGACACTCAGCGCCAGGAAAGACTTTAACTCTTTTGACTGTAAATCTCCGCTAGGATTTCTTCCTTGACAGAGAATTCGCTGGTACCGTGGACGGAGGGTCAGGGGGCCCGGTGTGGGGGTACCATGGGTCAAGGGGCCCGGTGTGGGGGCACCGAGCTGAGGTGAGGATCTGTCATTCAGACCCATCACTTTTGACTCAAGGTAGAAAAAAGTCAATGGCCTGTTTTCGGTCCCTCCCCCTGCACCTCCTGCCCAGTCCTTACGATAATTTCCAGGACAGAGGAATTGTGCTCTTGATTTGTTTCATTGTTTTAGTAGAGGTTTTACGGCGCTCGCAACTGCATAAGGTCATATGAGTATGAGCGCCTGA